ATCTCTTTACATATATCAATTAATTATAAATATATTGTATTTAACATGTTCGTGTAACTTACTGTCTATCGGAATCGACATAACTATCAATATCAATAAATGCAGAAATTAAGACAATCACCAGTGGTAAACCTGAAGTAGAAGAATTATTAATATTGATGTCATAATTAGGTTTTTACAAAACAAAAAAAAAAACATTCGACATAGACACATAAATGTTTCTTCAATGTTAGAAATATCTTACCCCATGCAAATAAGAAAGCTTTCAAGAAAAAGTGTCGCACATGAGAATCAAAAACTTTCACAAACAAGTAGTACATATGCACAGCTTGAACACTCATCCAAAAGATGGAAGACAGTAAGAAGTAATGCAAAAACGCTCCAGCAAACACACACGATCGTTTGCTGTAAGTTCTGTCAACTCCAGTAAGAAATGCAATATACAGACCAAGCAAGGATAAACACAGCTGACTTAAGATTCTCTTTGGTTCACTTTTTCGAAATTTCCTTAAAAAAAACAGAGATATATTTATACACACCATAATTCATTAATTCATTCGAACATTAATAATAGTATTAATAAAAATGATAACAACAACTTGGCGACAGATACTTGATTCTGCTGTAATAACATTGATATTATAGTAGACATAACAGAAATAATAAAACACCAAATATGTGTATATACCTGTTAGTGACAAAAGTAAAGATCGTCAGGAAAAGTGAGAGAATCGATATACTTAAACCAACTTTTGTGATGATGTCAGCCGCTGGTGGCAGAACATCTATGTCTACGTCGTAGAAATCCTATATTAAAGACAAAAAAGAAAATAGAAACTGGAACGTCAATAGTTTACAGCTCAACTCTTTCAAAGATGGCAAAGACTAGGAGTGTTATGCGGCACTCCACATTGGAATTTTACCAACCAGGCATATTTAGTTCCTACTGAACGAGTTAAAAAGGATTTCCCTGAGTGTCAGTCAACATAACAGATGACCAATCAGAACATGTTAGAAAGTGCATGTTCTGGAAAAAATAATTATACGTTTACGTTTTTTTTTTTGTCAATAAAACTTGCATTTTGGTCTATTAAATAAACAACTAATATTTGTCAAAACTAACTTCAGGATGGGTGTTTACAATTAAAATCTTAAAGTTTCTTAAGCACATTCATATCATGGACCTTTTCGAAAAGGTCAGTTATTAGTATACGTTCTGCCGAAATACAATACAATAATAATACTGTAATAATAATAATAAAACAATATTGTTAATTCCTGCTATCAAATTATTAATAATAATAATAATATAATAATAATAAAATAATAATAATAATAATAATAATAATCATAATCATAATAAGTTATTAATACAATATTGTTAATTCCTATCAAATTGCCGATATTATGTTTCACGACAAAACAAAAATGATATTACACAGAACATGTAATAAATTGATAGAGGTGGATTAGGCCTACACTTTTGCGAAACTCATGTGTTTACTAATAGAATGTTATAGGACATTTGACAAGCGCAAGTGCGAATCTACAAAATGGCGTAGCTCTACTGACAATCAGAATAAGTGATTTCATTTGTTGTTTTTTTTTTCTAACTCACTAGGCATATCCAATGCTTACCATAAGTATGGCAAAGTTTGTAAGGTGATTACACTCGCAGTACTGCCTATCACTCCCATCCGTAGACCCATTTACAAATGAACAACCCTCTGGTGACCATCCTCCAGTTCCGTTATCAAGCCCGAAGTCCCAAAATACACATGTTGTTTTTCTGTTAGTCTCAGAGATCTGAAAACAATATATTTTCAGAAAATATGTGAAATTAATTATCAAAATGAGAAGATGTAATTAAAATAAAAAATATATTAATGTTATCCAAAAATGCAAACATAAAAAAAATTACTTCAATGGGAAGGAATGTTATAAGGATAGGTTCATCCAATTCAAAGCGATCATCTAATCCAGGGACAGACAGAGAAATAACTTGACTATTTGGTCTCCGATTGGAACTTTCATTAAACTGAGATGACTGGAACAATCTACTGTCATTATAGACAATAACTACAATCCGGAAATCTGAAAAAGAAAACACAAAGACATTCTTACAAACATAAGTGTTAATTAATCGTGGTCAGTTTTGGAAATGCAATAATTGTGACGATTCATGGGCACACAAGTAACACAAATTTCACTTAACACCATGGTATTCGACTACAATCATTTGTCATTTTAATGAACAGTAGCAGATACTAAAGGGTTCCTAATATAGAAATTTATAATCGCATTGAACACCTAGTACGTCCCGAAGTACTTGTGAACAAAATTGATTCTAATAGGAATCGGACCTTTGGCCTCTAGATAACCAACCTGGTATCACAGTCACTAGACCATCGAGAGTTCAAAATAAATAATAATAATAATTTTAAAAAAAATAAATTAACGTACCTGTCATATTATTTTCCTTAACGACCTCAGAAATACTGGCTGGAAGAGCAATTGACACATTTGCAGAATTGGGTATTTCCTCGCTCTCGTCAATTGTTTGAACCCCACCTACACTATTCTTAGTTGATTCTGATATATAGCTAAGATAAGTGATTTCCTCTTCACTGACTTCACTGACATCAACCACCTGAGCCTGTACTGCAATATTGGGGGTTATTACTTCGTAAACACCTTCCTCATCAACCTTTACCTGGCTCAGTTGCTCTTCAAGAACTTCAACAATCTTAGTCGGGGCTTGATCTTCCATTTGACTTTCCATCAGAATTTCCTCTTCAACGCTGAACAAGTTATCTACTACGGTAACAACAGCACTAGTCACCTAATAATTAAAAAAAGGTTTGCATGGCGAAAGTATTAACATATATGTTAAAGCTTGCGGTACACCATGTATGTAGTTCTGAACAGAACTGTTGTAGTTTAGAAATGTTTCGATTGAGTTGCTTCAATCATCTTCAGGAGAATAATATGAATATCATTATAGCACAGAAAGAAAAAGAAAGAAAACCAAAACAACATTTATATTTTTGTTTTTCTAAGAATAGTGTTTGTGTAGGATACGCTTATCTGTATTTATTTGTGAATTTAACTATGAATCTGTCATACTAAAGTCTTTTAAATGTGTTGGTTAGGTCGGATAGGCGGTATCTGTGCCTGATGTGTCAGTGCGGATATAGCAGAGTGACTGAGTGTATACTATTTATCTAGTGACAAGTTTAGGGTGTGAGGTTGGTACATATAAATATTGCTGCATGTCTGTAGGTTTCTTATGACAAAGTGGCTGCATTTACGCCGATCTTGCGTCATGCTGTAGTGAAGTCGACCGATCAGCGTGTTGGGATTTGCATAGTTCGACGTAGACATTGGTAGGCATAGTAATATAATATTTAACTGTAGTGTCTAAAAATTTTGAATTATAAAATTAACTGAAGTGAACCTCCAAAAGCGAATAATCTTTACAAATACCTCAGTAGAATCAGAATCTGTACTAAGAATTTCCTCCATTATCTCAGCAGTGGATTCTAATGCTTGCACAGTAATCTCTTCTGTGTTACTAGTAATCTCTTCTACTTCCATGCTCACATCTTCAACGTTTTCTAATGTGACATCCTCCTATAGAAGCAACGATTGAGGAAATTAACATCTGATGCTAATATTATATAAGTAAATAATTAAATAATAAGATACAAGGCAAAGAAAAAAAAAGAAAAGAAAGGAAACCCACTACTGAAATACCATTACTGTTATTGTTATTGTCATTACCATTAACACTCAATTAAACTCATAAGCAGTAGTAGTGACAACAGCAGTAGTAGTATAGAAGCAGTAGTACTTTTATTATAACAGCAGTAGGCCTAGTTGTAGAATAATAGCAGCATAAAAGTAGAAAGTAGTGGGAATAGTAGTAGCTGGTAGTGGTAGAAGTCGTAGTTGCAGTCGCAGCTGCAGCAGTTAAGGAGTAGTAGTAATAGTAGTACTAGTAGTAGTAGTGGTGGTAGTAGTCTTGCCTAGAAACAATAACATCTGATCATTACCTCCATTAGACGTTTTAACAGTTGTTCGGCAGTGGCGTCAGGTCCGCAGTCTGCTATTACAGGATTGCCCCAATACGCAGGACGAAATCCATCGCCGTTACAAGTTCGATTAGCTAGACGTCGGCGATCTAGTGGTACGATAATGGTAATGATTATTACCATTCATTATGGTAATATATGTATATATATATATATATGTATATATATATATATATATATATACAGTATATATATATAGGCCTATGTGTGTATGTATATATAATGTGTATATATATATGTGTATATATTCAATTTATTTATTCGGCTCTTCAGGGGAAATTCTTTTGTCTATGATTTCCCCTTAACGAAAACGAAAGGAAAGAAAAGAAAAAGAAAGAATAACAGAAAGAAAACAAAAGAAACAAAAGGTAAGAAACAAATGAAAAAATGGAAAGAAAAGAATCTAAAAGAGAAAGAAAACTAAAGGAAAAAAATGCGAAAAGAAAAAAAAAGAAAAAAAAAGAATACAAGAAACAAGAGAAGAGAAACAAAGGTAAGAAATAAAGAAAAAAAATAAAAGAAAAGAAAGTACAGTGTATAAAAACAGAAAGAAAACGAAAGGAAAACTAATCGATGACAAATAAAAAGAGAGACAAGGAAAGAAAGGAAAAGAAAGCAAAGGAAAGAAAGACAAGAAAGAAAGAAAGAAAGAGAAAGAGAAGAAAAGAAAGAAAGGAAATAAAGAAAGGGAAAATGAGAATTAAAGATTAAATTTGTAGAATAGAATTGGTAGAAAATATTGAAAAAAAGTAGCCTAATTGAAGAAAAAGATAAAGAAAGGAATGGTAAGTATATATCTAAGGAATGCACGACCGCAGGATTTTCCTTAAATGGTTAAATTAGTTTGAATATTTCAAAATAATGGCTAATTTTTCTAAATTATTATGTATTCACAACATAATATAATATATAATACAATATAATTTAATATATTATAAGAATATCATGAGATGTAATATGCCATCTAGATTTCCTAGTCAATGGCTGCCAATAACTGATATATTTTCAGTAGCTAAATTTATTATTATTATATATATGTATGTATATGTATATATGTATATATATATATGTATATATGTATGTATGCAGTAAATCTGGCAATTCCCTTTGCTGTCATCACATTTTTTCTTTGGAAGGAGACCTGTATTATTTTAGGCATATAAAATATTAGGTCTACGTTTATAAAATAAGTAGTACTTGTTAATGAACGTGTTCTTTCTGAAATATACTATAATGCTTATGTTTATTATGTGTATATACATACATATATATATATAAATAACATGTATATATATACATATATATCATATATATACATATATATATCATATATATACATATATCATACATATATCATATATATATATATATATATATATATATATATATATATATATATTTGTAAGTCATCAAATGCAGTAAATCTTACAATACACTTTGCTTTCATCACATGTTTCTTCTGAATCAACAGTCTCTCCTACACTAGCATCAGGAAATGTGTACTGGTCACCATACTTTTCTCCGTCACAAGTTTCTGTTCCAAAAATTAATTAAAATAACAAAATCAAAATAGAGAATGGGCCTAAATGAGATTTGGATGCTGGTTACTTCTTTTTCAATTTAACTTTATAAAATACGAATTACTTTCTGTCCTAAGAGGATTTAGGTAACTTTTAGATACTTATGTCAGGTTGGTGGACCTTTCAGAAGTGTCAATCAAATTTATCGACTGACCAATCAGAAGAGTGCCAGGAATACTCGCGTGTTCAACAAACGCACATGTTTACGTACATTTACGCTATCTTTTTGTATATGGGACCTCAGCAAAAATGTCCAAGGGAAGGGGCTTAGAGGAAAGGTCCATTGCATTTGGTTAATTCTGAATTATCACCAATGGTAATATTTCATAAGTGTGTATACGAGGCTGCCCATTGTGCAACAGTTGTCTATGTCCGAAGTATTATATCATTAGACATAAAAATATACATAACCTTGATATCGAATATTTAATTTCAACTTCTCCTCACAACTTCAAACCGACCAACCTGAGAGTAGCTTTGTTAAAAAATATAAATTTATGAAGTGTTTTGAAATGTACCTGTACTTTGTATCACAACATTTTCCGAGCCGAGTAATCCATTAGAATTATTTCCGATTCTGACTAACTCCTCAGTTAGACTTTTTGACAATTCTTCATAGGAAGCGTTTGAGTTCATTACATAGAAATTAATATCTGCAATGACACTACCAAGAGAAAGGCGCCGTATTTGCATGCTTACATCCCCATTCAACGACAAATCTTTGCTCAACTGAAAGATAAAACATTATAGTATTATGGTAAGTGCTTTACACTATTATCCCAGGTAGGTCACTGGATTAAGCACATAATGAACACGTATTTAGCTCGCTGGGAAGAATACCATAACGTTACAGTTGTAATCAGCACATTTTGTGTTTGATCCTACCAGGTACCCACTTGTACTCCTGGGTGGAGAGAAACAACCTCAGGTTAAGTTCCTTGCCCAAGGACACAAGCGAATTGCACAGGCAGGGAGAACCTCCGAACTAAAGGTTGAGAAGCAGAACTTAGTGTTGAAATTACATTGCAGAAAAAGGTGCTCTTACAAGTTCGCAGACATAACGAGAGCCTTTCGAATAGTTATTGGAGAAGGCTTCTTTCTATCATCATTGAAGACAAAGTGATTCCTACAATTAAAAACAGACTAGTACTGGGTCGTATGATAATAATAATACTAATATAATATATTTAAACACGGAGACACTCGAATAACCCATAGGTGTTTCTCATCAAGGCCGTGCAAGGCCATAGATAAGAAACAAAAATATTGAAAACAAAATTAATAATAAAAAAAAAAACCAACAAAAACACAGCATCTTAACTACAAGTATCCCTCGCCGGACACCAACCCGGTTTTCTAAGTTTCGGGGATGACAATGAATGAAATCAGAAGTTATTAAGAAGACTTTGCTTGGAAATATGTATATTGTAAGAACATTTAAGTTTATCTAACAAGCCATTTTTTGATTGAACTAGATTCCGTAAATTCCTATTCATCAATTGAGATTTCTCGTCGACACCAGTAGTTTAAAATTAAAAATCCACCCTTTAAAGCTTTATAATACGAATCGGAAATATATTATGAAGTTGGCTAGAATACCAATTTCAGAAAAGGTCTGACTTACTTAAGATATGGCATATAAGTATATTTGTACTGTTTCGACAGTTTATATGTCACTTACTTTTTTCTTTGATTAAAATTGAAAGTTTTACTGTGGAGCCAATGGAGACTAAAAAGACCGTCGATTTACAATGTTGTTTGGCAAGTCTACACATAATAATTGGTTTTTACTGATTTAGAGATATAGTGAAACTGGACATGGATATAACATTAGTTGTAATGAAGATTATTTAAGATTATTTTGACAACCCTTTTCTGTATACACTTTAATATATCTACATTCCTTATCAGCTCACTTGAGCCATCAGGGCATGTATTATCAAAAATATGTTGTACTGTACGTTTTTTGAGTGTACTTACAAAGTTATAGATAAATGATGATTCTTGTTTGAAAGCTGCAGATGATGGATCAGAAAACTTTTCGTTGAACGTACGGTTAAATGTCAGAGACGCAGGAAAAGTGTACGTACCTGAATTGGTATGATTTAAAAAAAGAACAGCTAATGAAAAAACACTTTAATACTTGTAATACCTTAATAAAAATAAGTTCGCTAAAATTTCAGCTTAATACAATCTTAAGCAAAGATCACACTTCTTAAGCAACGATCACTACACTTCTTAAGCAAAGATCACTACAAAATCCTCATGAAACCCCATGGTATAGTAAACATGCTTACAAAACAAATACAGAGGAGTAAATTGCACACCAAAATACTACAATACTTAGTTGATTTTCACACATTCTTGAATGAAAAAAAAACTTGTGTGGATTTTATAGAGATAGAATTTACTTTTCCAGTTATTTTACGTACCTATAGTGTTTCCATTCGATATATAACTTTCGTAGCATGAAAAAATAAAATATGAAAATGCTTGCTTACCATTTACAAAGAACAGAACCTCTGATGAATTAACTAGAGTATCCTTGTGAGGTCCTGCTCCATATCCACTGCATGTGTAGTATCCTTGATTATCAATGGTCATTACAACTGTTATTCGATTTAGATTCTTTGTTGAGAAAAGGGGAACATTATCCTTATACCACTGCCAGTCACCTGAATTGGCCACTTTGCACGTAAGATCGACAGATTTATAAAGATTGGCCTTTACTGAAGTTGGAAATACTGTAAAAACTGGAGAATCTACAGAAAAAAAATTAAAATATATGTACATGCTACAGTCGAGTGGTCTGTGGTAAGGGAGGGCGCAACTAACTATGGCTTTAACATCAGTCCTGGTTCGAACCAAGTCTACTCGGATATGGAAATAAAATGAAGGTCTAGTACACTGTATATTTCTGAAAAGTAAGGGGTCTCAATGGTGTGGTTAATTTCAGCCCCTTTCGTTGTGGAATGATATGAACATGTACAGCCACTATCAGCACCTATAATGGCTGCGGCGGCTAGGTAGTCAGGGATCACGAACATACTCAATTCAGCACATTAACACTGTAATTAATGGGTTATTCTCCTACCTTCCTAACTGGCGTGAACTGAAGTGAAGAAAAATATAGCGATGTACATTGTACAGTCGGATTTCTATAATTTACCTGGTTCATTTTGACAGAATTCGCCACTATAAAACACTGGACAAATACATTTAGACGTTCCACCAAGATCTTGACAAGTCCCACCATTTAGACAGTTTTGATCAAAGCAGGCATCTATTTCAAACGACACATTCGAACACATTATATTAGTATACAACAAAAACTATTATTTACTTATTTCTTGGTACCATTCTTTATAAATTATTCCCTTTGCCCTATTCACTAACAGTCTTTCAAACCGATATACAATTATAACAGATTATGTTATTCTCCTATTTGAAATTTAAATTAGCAAGCTACTTTCTACACTTACCAATGACAGTAACATTAAAAGAACACATTGCAATATTTCCATTTACATCAGTTGCAGTATAAATGACAGGGTATACTCCAACGTCTTCCCACGAATCTTCAGGTGAAGCAGAACCAGTTAGGATAACTTCCAGTCCAGAGTTATCCAGTGGTTCAGGAATATTCCAAGTAGCGCTTTTATCGGTATTACTAACAACATTATCCGGACAAACAAGATAAGGTTTTTCCGTATCTGAAGCAATAACACGTATTGCAGAATAAATTGTATATAGACAGATTGTTTTGTTATTAAACTTACAAATTAAATCATACTTCTTCGTAGAGAGCATTGCATGTACACAATACAAATAAATAATACTATATAAACATTAATTACAATATAAATATAAAACTTGCGCAAAACTGTTATAATAAAAAAAGATAACAAAAAATAAAACTGTAAAATAACTGGTATCAAATATAAAAACTTTAAGGAAATATTGAAGCTGTTACGTCAAATAAAATGTATAATAGAATCATTGATAATAACCACCCACTTTAGAAATACATCAGTTTAGACAGATCCGGTATCACATTAACAAAAACAAATACAAATTCGTATTCATTTATTGTGCAATTAAAATGCTAAACGAAAGATTTGTTAGGTATTTCTATATTTTGCTCTATTTTTCAGATTTGAACCTGTGTTATTCTGCGCATTCTTTGTATTTATTTTCTATATTTATTTTAATATTCTTATTATATTATTCATCTTGTAGCGTTAATTTGTTTGTATGCTGTTACCGATTATGAAACAAATGGCATGTTAAAAAGGTGTAACTTAGAACAAAACAAACCAAAGGTGATGTATAATAAATACAATTAAGAATTACCTATTACTGTGATGTTAAACGAACAATCAGCTGTGTTTCCCTCAAAATCCTGTACATTGTATACCACAGTTGTATTTCCAATTGGGAAGGCAAATCCTGGTGAATGTGTTGAGGTTACTTTGAATCGGCCTGAATTGTCTTCAACTTGAGTCATCCAAGTTACAATGGCATCTGCACTCCTGGAGTCAGTTTCAACAAATGGCATATTTGGTGGACATGTAAGAATTGGATCTTCCGTATCTGGAACAAAGAACACAGGTTACTTTAACTTGCTTAAAAGCTAAAAAATATAAATTACATCAATCAAAGTTTTATATAATCTTACCAATAACAATAACTTGAAATGAACAAGTAGCTGTGTTGTTAGATCTATCTGTAGCTGTATACTTCACCTCAGTTGAACCAATACTAAATATAGTATAGGATTGTACGTTTGAATCAAGCTTTGGATTAATTCCACTGTTGTCAGATGCTGTCGGCAACTCCCAAGAGACATTGGCAGTTGGTAGATTTGGATCAGTGGAGACGGTCACATTTAACACACATTTTATCAGAGGTGGTGTTATATCTATCCAAAAAAAAAGAAAAAAAGAGTAAGAATTACTATAAAAATTGCAACTATTCAATTTCAATTGAAAATTCAATTTCTACCGAAGCATATTAAAAAAAAAAAATTCTGAGGCTGATTATTACAATAAACTGTGTATCCTAAGGAAACCTCAATTGTCAGGCTATTAAACCTTTTTATTTTCTACTAATGTCTATGGGTAGCAAAAAAAGTGATCACAGGCCTGCCACCAGACTTATTTTTGTTAAATCCTACTTTTAATAATAAAGCCACACTAAATCCAGATGTACAGTATTTGCCGATTCTGAGTTACACTGTCTCTTCGTGAGTGGAAAAAATGCAAACAAACAAATACATGTTTTAACTGTTTGTACAAAATGGCTAACAATACTCTAGTAGCTTTATCTTAGATATTAAATAATTAATGTGAACATTTTGAACAACATCGATAAGATAATCTTACCCAGTACAGTGACCTCAAAGGAGCATCTTCCTTCATTGCCAGCAGCATCCGTTGCTATATAAGTAACTACTGTTGTGCCAATGTCAAAGTCATACGATTGGTTATAGTTCTGAGTCATTCTGACCACACCAACATTATCGGTGGCATCTTCCAATGTCCAATTAGCCGTGGAGGTAGAACTATCTATGCCCAAGCTTACAGTCACATTGTTAATATTGCAATCAAAGACTGGCACCTCATAATCTTGATAAAAAAGATGATTTACAAAAATATTTATATAGTCATCTTAAATAAATTAAAAGCGGATAATCAACATAATTTTTAGTAAACATGGAATATAATGAATACAAATTGCTTTAAATTATGTTAGTATTGGTACTGGTGGTGTTATATGCATTTTTAGTACCCTAAAATAAATATTCATCTATTTAGGATCACAGAAAAAAACGCAACAGCGACATCTGATGACGTCAGCGTAGACAAGACCACAGTGGTGGTTGAAGTCTTGTTCAGTAAGTTTACCATTTATCTTTTAAGGTTAAAGGTTATACATAATTTATCATCCTGAATATATTAATTTTCATCAATCTAACACAATTAGTCATGCTTGTATAGTAAGTGTTAAGTCTTAGGGAGACGTGGTGTGTAAATACCTCGTCACTTGATAGGAGTCGAATCTAGGACTTTCACTTCGGAATGAATTCTGGTCAACTAGGCCCTAAGTCAACTCGGCCCCATTAAGTATGCAAGTAGCTTAGCCACCACAGCTCTATTTGAAGCCTAAAGCACTACAATATATTCAATTATATAGAATGTCCTTTCAGTAGCATCAATTAAATAACGTTTTCTAATTATTATCATACAACGGGTATAGATCAATACGTCTTTACTTACATACAAACACAAGTATATACTTTGTATTATATTTACGCTTGCTATAAATATACTATTACTATTATATGCTTTACATTGTAGTACGGTATTGAGCATTGTATCAGCTAATACTTAAGTATTCTATGTTTTATCTATAACACTACTGTATATATTTAAGCAAATAATATATTTCGATGTGAAGCGATTATATATTGAACTGTGTTAAATACCTGACACAGTAATTGTAAAAGAGCATTTTGCCACATTGTCATGTTCGTCTATTGCAGTGTAAGTAACTATATCACTACCAACACCAAAACCATCGTCAGGGTTTGCAGTCTGAACCACATCAACATCACCAGCGTTATCCATAGCAGTTGGTTCTTGCCAAGTTACGTTAGCATATGAAAGACCTTGAGTTGTATTTGTCTCCATATTCGTTGGACAATTCATAAACCAAGGCATTTCTTGATCTTACAGTAAATAGTAACATAATAATACATTAATTATGTTGTAAATTGGTAAAAATAGAAAATAAAACAACATAGGCCTATATTGTCTTAGGTAGCAAACCTCAATTGAGACTGACAAGAAATAATTTCATCCAAATTGGCTACTAACCTACCACAGTCACATCAAAGGAACAATTAGCTGTGTTACCATATCGATCGATGGCTGTGTATACAACTGTAGTTGTTGATACTGAGAAACTTTCACCAGGTGTATAATTTGTGTGCAGTGTGACGCTGCCAGAATTATCAATTGCAGTAGGTGCGACCCATGTTACGTTTGCATAAGAAAACATTTGTGTAGTGTTTACAACGGTGTCATTTGGACATCCTACAATTACCGGCTTTTCCTGGTCTGTAAAATATTTGTTAAGTATTCAATATATACATATACGAATAAATATAAATTGGCATAAGCAAAACATACAAACAAGAAAATTTTTTTGGCATTAAAACTTATAACCGATGCAGAAATATGATAAGAAATCGTTACATAATTACCATCATATATAACATAACATGTAACTATATACTATGATAACAATGATAACTTCCAAAATATCAGAATCATCTCAATACAAATGTTCTTAACACTATGCATAGACGTATTAATTTCTATAAAAAATACATTTATACTTAAATATTTTAAAAGGAAAAAAAAATAAAAACTTACCTTTTACTGACACCATAAAAGAACAATTATTAATGTTGCCAAATACATCTGCTACCATGTATTCTAGTTCAGTCATACCAATTGCAAATTCTGTCCCCGTTTGATTATAACTTATGCCAGTGCCTGATATTTTAACATCATATAAACTTTCACTATTGTCTGTATATTTAACTGTCCACTCAACAGCAGCGGTTGGATGTCCAACATCAGTAGTTAAGTTGAAATCTCTTGGACAAACAATTTCAGGAGGCTCGTCGTCTAATATAGAAACATATGCTCACATAAGCCAAGTTAAAATGATATCAAGCCTGTGCATCGAATATTCATTGTTTTACAGTCTTGGAGGCCACCCTCTCGATGATAGATCAGTGATAGAGTAGTATGACTACACAGTCTGAGATTTTTAGATTAATTTGTGTGTATATTTTTTTGATAATCAGTAAGGCCAGAAAGTAATTTTATTAGCATAACAGTTAAGAATGGGTATTAACGATAATTACAATAGAAGCAAGACAATTTTATGTATTTGCCATGACTTAGTAAGATCTGTTATAGCACATGCACACTATTATTTTAGTCTTTGATGCTTTATAGCTTAGAATTACGCACATACAAAATGGCTGAACAAACGTTACGTTGGGCAAATCAATGTCCTTGATCAACGTTATGTTGCTTGAATAAAACATATGTTTACGATTGTGTAGTAAGGAGTTATTCTATTTAAAAATGCCAAACTAAAATATTCATGATAAGTCAGAAAATACTAATTCGGCTTTTAATGAGAATTTATATAGTTCGGAATAAACGACGAATTAACAAAAGTGAGACTGAATATATATATTTCATAAAGCGATCACGATGCTAATGGGTCAATACAGAAAAAGCTGTATTACTACATTACAAAAGTAAGAATGCTACTAAAAGCTAATAGTATTACAAAAGGTTTACAAGAATACAAAAAATTATTTTTCTGTCTGTCTGAATCTACAAATATCGTAGGTTACATATAAATTACCGTAAATTGTAACAGAAAATATACATGATGCTATGTTGTCATACTGATCATGTGCAATACACGTTACGTTTTCTTCTAGTGTTGGCCAGACGACATTAAAGTGATCACCAGATTCTCTGGAGCAGTTTAGATTTACTGGGCCTGAGTTATCGGTAGCTGTCACATTCCAACGTATAGTAGAGTAAGGTTTCCCTGGATCTGTAGAAATCATTCTGAAGTCATCTGGACAATTAAGTAATGGTCTAGTGTTGTCTGTTAAAACAAATAAATAGTAATTATTAAGCAAAATTAAACAGATCCAACATTTCCTAACCTGATATGGATATGGTAAAGAAAGATGATCGCATATCTTACCAATTACTGTTACATTAAAGGAGCAAGTTGCCACATTTTTTGATTTATCTGATGAAGTGAAAATAACTGTATGTGTACCAATGTCAAAGACATTGTTGGGTTCAAGGTTAGATTCAAGAGTCGGATTAACACCACTGTTGTCAGATGTTATTGGCAACATCCAAGACACGTTAGCGTTTGCTGAGGCTGGACCAGTACAGGCAGTTAAACTCGGAGAACAAACCAATACAGGAGGCACAAAATATGTTTATAAAAAAAGTCATTACTTGATATCTATATAATAGGCAATTACTACTAGTCAAAAAGTTCAATACTAAAAGGAAAATAAGTTTGTACCTAATACAATAACATCAAAAGAACAATTCCCTTCATTCCCAGCAGCATCTGTTGCTGTATAAGTAACTGATGTCCTGCCAATTTCAAATTCAAACGATTGGTTATAAGTCTGAGTCATGCTGACCACTCCGACATTATCAGTTGCGTCGTCCAATGTCCAAGTTGCTGTAGAGGTAGAACTGTCTATATCCACTTGTACAGTCACATTATTGATGTCGCAATTAAACAAAGGTACTTCATTATCTTGAAAAAAATAAATAAATAATTACACACTTCGTTTTAAATTCACGTTCCTTGATTTTTTTACCCTGCAACCCAAATTTAAATATTTAATACTAACTGCAACCCATCGACCTCAGCCACATTAATAAATATGTTATTATTGTGGTCATGTTTGCCTGGTTTCAGTCACTAGGTTAATATTTTTCTTGCATTATTTAATGTTCTCTTTTAATCTAAAGAAAGTTGTCATTTAAATGTAAAAATTCTGAAAATATCTAGTTAACTTTGTTATTTTGCTTGGCTATTTTCTGGATTCGAGGACGTACATTTATATTTTGATATAGGTGTTTACTGGAATCACGCACTTGATTTTATTTTAAGTGTTTATAAACAATTTACACAGGTAAATGACACTTACGAGCAATTACAGTATTGTTAAAAACTTTATTTCAAAAGGAGTATCTACAAAAGTTATTGTATTTGCAAGGAGTTTTGTAAACACCAAAGTTATTTTGTACCATCTCGAGATTCAGAATAACCTTGTTGGGAATTAAAATTTGAAAGTGTACAAAACCTTTTCCGATACTTGAGATATGAACCACATAATTGATCGTGTATAAGACGATCCGCGTATAAGACAACCCCCAAGCTTGAGAAGATTTTTGTACGATATTTGTATGTAGGGCGTATTTTAGTAGTAAATTTGCATGTAACGGATGATCCAAACACAAGGCGAACACGATTTTAAAAAATCCTAAAAATTTGAATAATGCGAGTATAAGGACGACCTATAGTTTTTCGATCGTAATTTCCTATTTTAAGACTCATCTAAAGCTTTGTTCATTAAAATAGCTACACTGTCGCTACAGAGTTTTTTTAGTGCAATGGTTGTATCCCGATTCGACCGACCAATCAGCATCACTGAAAGCAATCGGCGAGCATGTAGCGATTGTATGTAAACCAAGCTTTATACATGAGGATATACGGGACAAATGAAACCCAGCCTCATACATCCACGTCTTGTTGTTGTTGCACTATGGCTGAGGCCTATTGTGCAACTTCTATCCAAAAAAATTCCTAATGGCTCTTGTTTAAGTTAATGAAAAACGGGAATGTATTTGGACAGTAAATGTCAAGCTAAGGCCTGGTTTTCTTAAGAATTGCAATCGTTGCACTAGCATAGTAGTCCTTGAAGCAATCGGGAAAGCTCCCTGATACGTCAACGAAAACTGTCGGTTATAGCGTGTAGCGGTTTTGTGGAAAGCAAGCTTTATCAAATGCCTCGGGGTTCAGTTGCTGGCATTCTTTTGTCAGCACCTTCGTTAGTTACCATGTGTTATGTTTTTATCTGAAGTGATTTAGCGACCCTTAAAAGTTTCGTCAGGAACCAAACATTGAGTCGCGTCCCATAGGTTGCGCAATGGAGGCTTAAATTAACTTACTTCTTCAAAATGTAGTTATTCCAAAAAGATAAAAATAAAGTAGAAAATGTTTGAAAAAAGCCAATATCATAATATTTACCTGACACCTTTATAGTAAAGAAGCATTCTGCCACGTTGTCATGTTCATCAACTGCTGTGTAACTAACCATATGAGAACCAACAACAAAACCATCTCCCGGTTCTGCAGTCTGAATTACATCAACATTACCACTGTTGTCCATGGCAATCGGTTCTTGCCAAGTTACGTTTGCATATGAACGGCCTAGGTTTGTGTTTGCCTTAATATCCAATGGGCAATTCATGAACCATGGCATCTCAGGATCTTAAAAAATATACATAATGACTAAATGAATTATTATTATAGGATTGTATCTGTCATAAATACAAAATTGGTACGTGTTTCGTCAAAGAAAAATCTAACTGTTTGGCTATTAGAAGCGGTAGATTTTGTATTTTTTGTCAATTTTGGCATTTTATTGTTAACTGTTTTATGTTTCTTGCGTGGTAAAAATGTTTAAATTTTTTAAGGGCCCCGATGGAAATAAGTTTTATATATTGTAAAACTTTCTTGGGTTACCCTAGGGTCTTATCCTGTTCTTTATCTTGTATGTGTTCTTCGTATTTGTTTTATTTTCAAGTAATCTATGATTTTACTTCCTGAATAAAATGAAATGAAATTAGATTGACTTTCTGTTGATTTCTTATCTTCCTTCATGCTTTAGGGACCTGGTGTGCTTATTTGTGCAACAGCTTCGCACTGGTGCTCCTTGTTACTGTACTAGAATTGCTGTAATCGGTAAATGATCATCATATAAGTGGCTGAGATTATGCTAAATACCGGTTAATATTGTTGATTTTTTTGCAAATCCATATGGACCCATTTACTTTATGATACCTGTATTAACAATGACATTATCTGTGATGGTCAGATATTAAGACAATTAAGGACGGAAAACAGGGAACAAAAACACTTTCAATGCTATCGCGGATTCTTTATTTTATAATTACAAAACAGAAAAAAATCAAATTCATTAAAAAAAGTTTTACTCACCTATTACAGTCACTTCAAATGAACAAATAGCCGTGTTATTATATGGATCAGTGGCAGTGTATACGACAGTGGTAGTTGATAGTGGGAAACCGTCACCAGATGTATGAATTGAATCTAGTGACACAGTACCAGAATTGTCTGTTGCATTAGGTGTAAACCATGTTACGTTGGTGTAGGAAGACATTCGAGTAGTGTTTACAGATATGTCACTTGGACATCCTGTAATGACTGGATCTTCTTTATCTGCCATAATAATAAATACAAATTATTGTAAACAATAGAACATGTTTAACAGTAAAATAAGAAATACCACCAAGACGAATCTAATGAAAATGACAGAGGTTATTTTAATTATATTAAACAATAATAGTACCTGTGACAAAAATATCAAAGCTGCAGGTTTCATTGTTTCCAAATATATCGGTAACTACATACTCAAGTGTAGTTATTCCAATTGAGAACTTCCCACTTGTTTGACTGAAGTTTGTACCAGATCCTGTTAATCTGACATCATACTTAGTATCTGTGTTGTCCGTGTAAATGACTGTCCAATTAACATAAGTGGTAGACAGTCCAGGATCGGTTGTCACATCAAAGTCACTTGGACAAACTATTTCCGGGTTTTCATCATCTAAATAATAAAATTTAATCAAACTTTCAATTGATATTAGGAGAAATGTTTTACTCTAAAATGAATTCACAATTATTCTACTACAATATATATTCAAAACACAATATTTAAAGCAAACTTACCATAAACAGTTATATTAAATATACATGATTCAGCATTGTTATATGAATCCACTGCCAAACATGTAACAGGTTGTTGTGTTACTGGCCAAATAGCACTGAACTGATCACCAGATTTGCTTGTGCAGTTTAGGGTTGTAAATCCTGAGTTATCGGTAACTGATATATTCCAATATACAGTGGAATAATAATGATTTCTATCTGTTGAAGCTAGGATACTTTCATTTGGGCAGTGCAACACCGGATACTCGTGATCTAAAAGCAAATATAAATAATACTACATTCCATCTGTAAATGTAAAAGTAAATAATAAAGAATCTGATGCATATTTTATGAAGGTATAACCCAAAAAAAATAATTATAAAAAAAACACTGCGACGACCGACGATGGAATGTTGGGAACAAAAGCGTTTGGCTACCATCGTCCGACAAAACTATTTAAACTGCGTGTAAACCCTTGACGGTGCTACGCAGTACGCTGGTTTTCTGTTTCACTCTAGTCGGTTTTTAGTTGTCAAACATGAGATGCCGGTTGTTCTTTGCCGACTTGTGCTCTATGTTTCTATATCTGACCGTCAGCCGACGTAGTGAACGTAAGGATTTACACATCAACTACCATCTGCATAACATTATTTTCATACTGGTATTTAAATAATGCAATACTACTGCATCTACATGTCATACATAGTTACCTACCAGTAATATTCACATAGAATGAGCATATGGCTATGTTGCCTGAGGGATCAACTGCTGTGTAATTGACCTCAGTAACTCCAATGACAAATGTATCACCAGATTTGTAGTTACTTGTAAGATTCATAATATACTGATTGTCCATAGCAACAGGTCCCGTCCAAAAAACTACTGCTGTTGGCTGCTTGTCATCTGTAGTCTGATGAATCTCACTTAAACAATTGGTTATTACTGGATTTTCCTCATCTATAATATAAAAAATTACGTATAATTGATATTATTTATGAACATTCAAATTATAAGAGCAAATAATGTAAAAATAACAGCATAAATATATTGAAAATATTATGAAACAAGTATTAAAAATATTGTAATATTTCAGACATAATTAAATTAAAATAAGAATATTTTTGTATCTTACCTCGTATTGTAATATTAAATACACATTCCGCTTTATTTCCTGATGAATCTACTGCTATATAAGTTACAGTAGTTACACCAACGAAAAACCTATCTCCGGAGTTATGTGTCTGATTAAATGCTACCAGCCAATAGTTATCAATCGCAGTAGGTTCAGGATACCAGGATACATTGGCATAAATTTTCCCAAGAGCCGTCGGAATAGTTCTATTAAGTGGACAGTCGGCTATAACCGGATCCTCCAAATCTAGATACAATATTGATATTGTATATTAGATATAATTTAAACAAATCTCATATTCAACGAAAATTAGTAAAACATACTGATACTAAAACGGTTAGTTTATTTAAGTGAGTATATATGGATAAATTAGTCATTTAAATTATCAACATACCTAATACAGTAATGAAAAAAGAACATTCTGCCAAATTTCCATTCTCATCAATTGCAGTATAAGTAACCATATGAGTACCAACATCGAAGCCATCACCAGGATCTGCAGTCTGAACCACATCAACGTCACCAGCATTATCCATTGCAATTGGTTCTTGCCAAGTTACGTTCGCATATGGTAGACCTGTGTTTGTGTTTGACTCCATATCCATCGGACAATTTATGAACCAAGGCATCTCAGGATCTTCAATAAACAAATAATATGTCCTACTAAATTAAATATTGGAAGCTGGTACAAATGTGTATATAGTAGTCAAAAAGTAAACTTATCTTAGAAAAGGTAAAGGTAAAACGGCCTGATGAATTTCATCAAAATGTTTACTTACCTATTACTGTTACATCAAAAGAACAAATAGCTGTGTTATTATATGGATCAGTGGCAGTATATACAACATTGGTCGTTGATACTGGAAAACCATCTCCAGATGAATAAATTGAAACTAGTGACACAGTCCCAGAATTATCTGTTGCATTAGGTGTAAGCCATGTAACGTTTGTATAGGAAGACATTCGAGTAGTGTTTACAGATACGTTACTTGGACATCCTGTAATGACGGGATCTTCTTTATCTACAAAGGTAATAGATAAAAAAAATCGTAAACAGTACAAAATATTTTTAAAATTTAGAACTAGATCTTGATCGATAATTGACAAAGTCTCCAAGGAGATATCAAGTCAATAGGGTTTGGTTCCATTTCAGTCACTGGATAAGAAAAAAATAACAATGAGTACAATCTAAATGAAACAGGTTAAACTAATTAAGTTCTGCAAATAATATTACCTGTGACAAAAATAACAAATCTGCAACTATCATTGTTTCCAAATACGTCAGTTACAATATACTCAAGTCTAGTTATTCCAATTGAGAATATCTCTCCTGTTTCATTGTAGCTTGTACCAGATCCTGTTACTCTGACATCATACATAGTATCTGTGTTGTCCGTGTAAATGACTGTCCAATTAACAAAAGAGGTAGACAGTCCTGGATCAGTGGTCAAATTGAAGTCACTTGGACAAACTATTTCTGGGTTTTCATCATCTAAATAAAAGAATGCAAATCAAAATAGACATTAGAAATGTTTCATTCTAAATGAATTCACGATTATCCTACTATACAATTATATTTAAAACACAATACTTAAAGCACACTCACCATAAACAGTAATATTAAATATACATGATTCAACATTGTTGTATGGATCCACTGCCAAACATGTAACTGGTTGTTGTGCTACTGGCCAAATAGCATTAAATTGATCACCAGATTTGCTTGTGCAATTTAGGGTTGCAGAGCCTGAGTTATCGGTAACAGATACATTCCAATACACAGTGGAATAAAAGAGATTTCTGTCTGTTGAAGCCATGGAGATTTCATCTGGGCAGTGCAACACCGGGTACTCGTTATCTAAAAGAAATATTTAAGTAATACTCTATTACATTTGTAAATGTGAAACTACATATTACAGAATCTGGTAAATATTTTATTACGATATTTCCAAAACGAGTCTAAACCTGAAAAACATTGCAACGGGTGGCAATTGGATGACGGTCGCACAAGCGTTTGTCAACAGTTGTCTTACAAATCCATTTCAACATTGTGTAAGCCCTGACGGCGCGATGCCTTATGCTGGATATCGGTGGAAGTCAGAAAGATTTGTCGTTTTATTAATATTCAACTTTAGGTACTAGGGCAAGGATTACAAAACAGAGAACTAAATCACATTTCAAATTGGATATCCATTCACAAGACATTAAGGGTTGTATGGACCAATAAACGGGGGTAACCCTTACTCATCTCGAAAGATGTACTGGGTTCTTTAAAGTACATGAGCCAACAGTGCACTAAGCTTTATAGTCCTTATCTGAGAAGACATCATCTTCCAACTCAAGAACCATAGGGAAGCGTGCTGTTCGAACCAGCGCCGACATTATAGCTGTAGTTTGCGGCTTACCTCTCTTAACTACTCGGACATTCGTTTCGCTGTCAAAAACAAGATGCCGCTTGAACCTCACCTATTCTTAAGTTCATTGTGGCACCTTCCAAATGTCAGCCGGCGTAGTGTATGCAAGGCTTTACAAGCTAATTTGTATGTTTGTACATAACATTTTTACATATTTTAATAATAATAATAATAATAATAATAATAATAATAATAATTTATATAGCGCCAATTTCAACTATACCGAAGTAAAAATCAAAGGCGCTTAACATTTAGATGGTAAAAAGGTGTGTCTTAAGTTTTGTCTTAAAAATAGCAACTGACGGTGATTGAATAATATGTTTGGGCAATGAGTTCCAAAGGGATGCTGCGGAAAATGAATATGATCTAGAACCATAGGTTTTGGTGTTAATCATAGGAACAACTAAAAGATTTTTATCAGAAGAACGGAGACAAGTAGGTTGGGCATACGCATGAATGAGTTCAACAAGGTAAGTGGGTTGTTTGTAAAATAGTGCTTTGAACGTTAATAGCAGGATTTTGTATTTGATACGAGATTCAATACGGAGCCAATGTAAATGATAAATTACCGGTGATATATGTGAGCGTCTAGAAGTAAGAGTCAGAATACGTGCGGCTGAATTTTGAAGACGTTCAAGGCGATTTATCGCAGTTTTTGGTAACAAGTAGAAAAGGGAGTTGCAATAATCCAGATGGGGTGTGACCAATGCATTTATTAATACGGCAGCTGTGTGTTTTGAAATATATTTTCTGATATTAGCAATATTGCGTAGATGAAAGTTAGTAGTTTTAGTAATGTGACTTATATGGTTATTAAAACAAAGAGATTCATCAAAGAAAACACCAAGGTTTTTAACAGAATGTGAAGGAAATATAGCTGTCTCTTATACACGATCCCTGTGGAACACCGTATTCAAGATATTTTGGGGCAGACTTAATGTTATTTATCTCTACAAACTGGGTCCGTTCATCTAAATAGGAAAACCAACCAAGAGCAGTGTCGGAAACTTTGTAATAAACAGAAAGACGTTGTAAAAGAATTTGGTGATCAACTGTGTCAAATGCTGACGAAAGATCTAACATTACAAGGGCAACAGCACGCTTGCGATCAAAAGCACAGACAATGTCATTATGAATCTTAGTGAGTGCCGTTTCGTACTATGACCTACTCTGTAAGCGGATTGAAATGGATTGAGAAGTTCAAAATTATATAGGTAAGATAAAATTTGATTTGCAACAATTTTCTCAAGGAGCTTGCCAATGAGTGAAAGATTGGATATAGGTCGGAAGTTTTCAAAAAAGTTACTGTCCAGAGATTGTTTTTTCAAAATAGGTTTAATAACAGCAGATTTAAACACTGAAGGAAAACATCCTGAAGAGAGTGATTTGTTAACTAAAAAGGTAAGAGGTTCAGTAAGGGAGTTGTGTTTACATGTCATGCATAGTTACCTACCAGTTACATTCACATAGAATGTGCATATAGCTATATTGCCTGAGAGGTCGATTGCTGTGTAATTGACTTCAGTAACCCCAATAACAAATGTATCACCAGATCTGTAGTTACTGGTAAAGTTTATAATGTATTGGTTGTCCATAGCAACAGGTGCAGTCCAAACAATTACTGCAGTTGGCTGTCTGAAATCTGTAGTCTGATGAATGTCACTTGGGCAGTTGGTTATTATTGGGTTTACCTCATCTGCAATATCAACAATTATCTGTAATTGATATTACTTTTTTTTTCAAATAAACAAGTAATAGATAAATGTAATAATGCACACAAAGGCAGAATAAATATATTAGTAATAATTTGAAAGAAGTCATTTAAAAACATTTCAAATATTTCTAAAACAGTTAAACAAAAGATTTTTTACAAATTAGTAATTAATATAAAAATAAATATATTTATTTAAGTGAATAAAGAAATGTATATATTTATCACCTTGTATTGTTACATGAAATACGCATTCCGCTGTATTTCCTGATGAATCTACTGCTAAATAAGTTACCGTAGTTACACCAACAAAAAACCTATCACCAGAGTTATGTGTCTGATTAAATGCTACCAGCCAATAGTTATCAATTGCAGTAGGTTCAGGATACCAGGATACGTTGGCATACATTTCCCTAAGAGCCGTCGAATTCGTAATATTCAATGGACAGTCGGCTATAACCGGATCCTCCAAATCTAGATACAAAAACGATATAGTATAGTAGATATCATTAAGACAAATTTCATATTCAACGATAATTAGTAAAGCATACTCACACACCTAATACAGTAACAAAGAAAGAGCATTCTGCCAAATTTCCATTCTCATCAATTGCTGTGTAAGTAACTATATGAGTACCAACATCAAAGCCATCACCAGGATCTGCTGTCTGAACCACATCAACGTCTCCAGCGTTATCCATCGCAATTGGTTCTTGCCAAGTTACATTCGCATACGGTAGACCTGTGTTTGTGTTTGACTCCATATCCATAGGACAATTTATGAACCAAGGCATCTCAGGATCTTCAATAAACAAATGATATGCACTACTTAATACTGGAAGCTGGTACAAATGTGTATATAGTAGTCAAAAAGTAAACTTATCTTAGAAAAGGTAAAGGTAAAACGACCTGATGAATTTCATCAAAATGTTTACTCACCTATTACTGTTACATCAAAAGAACAAATAGCTGTGTTATTATATGGATCAGTGGCAGTATATACAACAGTGGTCGTTGATACTGGAAAACCATCTCCAGATGAATAAATTGAAACTAGTGACACAGTCCCAGAATTATCTGTTGCATTAGGTGTAAGCCATGTAACGTTTGTATAGGAAGACATTTGAGTAGTGTTTACAGATACGTTACTTGGACATCCTGTAATGACGGGATCTTCTTTATCTACAAAGGTAATAGATAAAAAAATCGTAAACAGTAGAAAATATTTTTAAAATTTTAATTGACAAAGTCTCCAAGGAGACATCAAGTCAATAGGGTTTGGTTCCATTTCAGTCACTGGATAAGAAAAAATAAGAAAAAATAACAATGAGTACAATCTAAATGAAACAGGTTAAACTAATTAAGTTCCGCAAATAATATTACCTGTGACAAAAATAACAAATCTGCAACTATCATTGTTTCCAAATACGTCAGTTACAATATACTCAAGTCTAGTTATTCCAATTGAGAATATCTCTCCTGTTTCATTGTAGCTTGTACCAGATCCTGTTACTCTGACATCATACATAGTATCTGTGTTGTCCGTGTAAATGACTGTCCAATTAACAAAAGAGGTAGACAGTCCTGGATCAGTGGTCAAATTGAAGTCACTTGGACAAACTATTTCTGGGTTTTCATCATCTAAATAAAAAAAATGCAAATCAAAATAGACATTAGAAATGTTTCATTCTAAATGAATTAACGATTATCCTACTATACAATTATATTTAAAACACAATACTTAAAGCACACTCACCATAAACAGTAATATTAAACACATCTACGGTGATTGGATAATATGTTTGGGCAATGAGTTCCAAAGGGATGCTGCGGAAAATGAATATGATCTAGAACCAAAGGTTTTGGTGTTAATCCTAGGAACAACACGATATTTCCAAAACGAGTCTAAACCTGAAAAACATTGCAACGGGTGGCAATTGGATGACGGTCGCACAAGCATTTGTCAACAGTTGTCTTACGAATCCATTTTAACATTGTGTAAGCCCTGACGGCGCGATGCCATATGCTGGATATCGGTGGAAGTCAGAAAGATTTGTTGTTTTATTAATATTCAACTTTAGGTACTAGGCCAAGGATTACAAAAACAGAGAACTAAATCACACTTAAAATTGGATATCCATTCACAAGACAATGGGCTATTTATCCTGATGCTGGTCTACATTAGGTTTCGGCTGTGCTTGGAGTTGTTTGTATCAGGCCTATTTTTTTCTTTTGTGTATTATGAATTAGAAACTGGGTGTAGCCTAACTAGGCATAAACATTTAGTACTCCAAAACGCGAAACATTATTCTTCTCTTAATTATGCTATTGAGTGGTTTCTAGAAATATATAAATCTTTCTCACTTTCTTATTTTATTACAAACAATATGTAAATATAATAATATTTCCCTTTCTTCTTTATTAGCAATGACAAATTATTTATTTATTATTTACTTTATTTACTATTAGCATTTATTTATTTAACATGAAATTGAAAGTAATATCTTTACTTCCAATGTATTGATATGACAATTATTCACAAATAAATATTTACTATTCATTACTAAATATATTCTTTACAAGTGATATTAGGAGCCTATATACTAATTTGTTGTGATAATTGATTGGTGGTTTCAACATACTTTCATTACTATTGATAATACTATATTAATAGATATTTTATCAGATTTTGTGATACTTCTATAAAGCAATGACTATATTTTATTTCTAACTTCCTTCTTTTATCCTATATAATAATTTTATGTGATATTTTGATTGGTGTTTTAACATACTTTCATTACTATTGATATATACTGTATTAATAGGTATTTTATCAGGTTTTGTGATTTTGTAAATGCAATGACTATATTTTTCTTTTTCATTGACTTTCTTGCTTTCTTCTTTTATAAACAATCATTACTTATTATTCTTTAAAGTATCAGAAGTAACAGTCATAATAGGTAACTACCATTGTAATGGTTATAATTGTGGAACAAAAAATACCTCTCAATCATAAACTTCCCGAAAATATGGTAACCCATGCTACAGTATCTCATGGTACAGCTTGTGGATATTATATAATGTTATTATTCCTTTAAAATTCTCTGATTTAGGACTAAACCTTTGTTTTTCCGATCTCTTATCTCTACACTGTTATTGACAAAACAGCAACTAGTCAAATTTCAATTACAGTCAGATCGTCTGCTCCTCGAATAACCCTCAGATGAGTGTCAGGCAGGATTAGATACAATGTACTCGTTACTGGCACTGCACTGCAGCTACCGTGGGTCCGGGTATCCAAGCCAAAATTTCCAATTTCAAATACTTGGAACCAGACAAAAAAAGCAAAATTTATTTCTTTAACATTACTTCGCCAAGGAGGTTATGTATTTACCACTGTTTGTCTGTCTGTCTGTCTGTCTGCTTGTTTGTTAGCAGGATTATGCATTAAAATGAATGGATTTATCATAACAATTGGTAAATATGGGTCTAAAGAAAAGGTGAATCAATTTTGTGTAAAGGTCAAAAACAAGGTAAAGGTCACAGAAATTAAAAAAATGTTTGTTAAAATTTTCTCCACGAGCATCGAAGAAAATATTAGTCTATTGCACTGGCTTTGTATGTACTAATAGGAAGCTTTCGATTTGTGCGACGACGCGACGCTAGAACGGAATCACTCATGCGTGACCGTCCTACGTTGCGTCCTACTTTCTCTGCATAGGTAGATTTGGCCAAATTGCGTTTCAGAATCTACTCGACGAGGTGACCTTAACATTCTCGCATGCACAGATGACTTTTAATGACGTCATTACGTTCTACGTCCTACCGTCGTCGTGCGATTAAAAGCTCTCAAATATGCTGCACTGGGACTGACGAAAGTCGATGAGTTTAAACTATATTAAAATACTATACAAGTTACTTTCAATATAAATACTAAAGATTATGCAGCGAATAATAATTATAATATGAAATATAAACAATTGGCAAACAAATCTGTACTAAAAATCACTATATTATAGCTATATGTTTTTACAAAAAAAATATACTATATTAACTATAATAAAATATTATTAAATTACCTTCGACATAAATACTAAAGATGCATTCATCCTGATTGTCATTGCAGTCTGTTGCTATAAGGCTAATTACAGTAACTCCAATGTTAAAATCTGAGCCATTTGTGGCATTATAAACCACATCAATGTCATTTCCACAACAGTTATCAGAAACAACACCAGGAACCCATGTCACTGCGGTGGTGCTATCACCTTTATCAGCCTCAACAGTAATATCTTCTGGACATGTGACGTCTGGGAAAGTTGCATCTGTTGAAGAAAGAAAAATATTCACAGGCAATCGTGCAGAAACACAAATACTCAATGATTCATTCATTCTATTTAATGTAGTAACATACCTAGACGACATATATACAACAAATATGTTAGACAAATATCACTTCTGAATATTTGTTTAAAAATTACATACCAAAAATGTAAATATTGAAAGAGCAATTCCCGGTGTTTCCTGCCATGTCTGTCGCATTACACGTTACTGTGTAGTTGCCCAATGGAAGTATACCTTCAGTCGGGTTACAGAACACAGTTACATCACTATCATAATTATCTGTTGCTGTCACTTCAGTCCAAGTTACATCGGAAGTGCAATTGTCATCAGCATCAAATTCTACATCTTGCGAACAGTTCAAAACAGGAGCTTCGCAATCTGAACATCAATAAAATAATATTTTATAAATAACCCATCTACAGTAAGCGATATACTTGAATAATTCTGATAAAAATACAATAAATGTTGTCATTACCAATCACTTTTATAGTAAAACTACATGATGCAGAGTTTTCACTACAGTCAGTTGCTGTGTATGTTACTACATTTTCACCAAGTTCAAATTCATCTCCTGATGTGGAATTTGCCGTTATGTTTACATTGTCACAACAGTTGTCAGTTGCGTTGATGGGTTCCCAAGGTACAGATGCTGATATAGAATAAGTTTGAACACAAACTTCTATGTTAGCAGGGCAATTTACGACTGGGTCTTCACCATCTGCTTAAATAAAAAATTATTTTATTAAAAAAGAGTATATTATTATGTTTTTCGAAATATCTACTTGGAATTCCTAATACTGTATTAACATAATCTTATCAAAATAAATGTTAATATTCCATTAATATAGTAAACTTTTACTATACTTTAATTTTCATCCAAGTATTTAATTATAAAATTATACCCTACACTTTCTATTACTCAGTGCAGTTTATTAAGATAATAATTATCATCAGATAATCAAACTATGACTTGCCGTAAATAGTAATGGTAAATGTACAGTTGCCAGTGTTATCATAATTGTCAGTGGCATTACATGTTACAACAGTGCTGACATCAACAAATGTGCTTCCACTTATATAATCACATACTGGTGTGAAAGAGTCTCCAGAGTTGTCTGTAACATTAGGTGCTGTCCAGGTGACATTTGCGTAGCAGTTCTCGTCACCTGTTACGTTTTGGTTTGGTGGACATTCAAGGTCCGGGGGCTCACAATCTAATTATAATCCATCAAATGCTGTTACTGCAACATTATTACATTAATTTGTAGAATTAAGGCTATGGCCAGGCGTAAGCTAATCCACGAATTAAAATTCCAAAGTGTTCACACAAACGGCGTTCGTTAAACTAGCAGTAATATAGGCCTATGTGGAATAGTTTTCAGTTTTAAATAATGTACGTGTTAACAGTAGTAAAATAAACAGTGCATTATGAAAACTTTTAAATCTGTGAATTGTTCGAAGTGAACTTATATGATTATTGTATTTAAAATGAACAATTTTACTTTTGATTTTTCAGCTAGCATTATTGATTTTGCATGTTTTAATACTATAGACAGTCTAAATGGTTAAAATATCTTACAAAACACAATCAATAAATCATATACATTATAACTAAGTAAAATGCAATAGAAAAGGAA